CCTTAATTAAACGAGCTTGAAATGGGCTCGAACTCAACTCATTAAGGGCTCGAGCTCGAGCCGTACTCGAGCAAAACCAAACAGAACAACACTAAATGATACAAATGTTATTGGAGGGTTGGCGGGGATTGGTGGCCGGACATGTTTTTTACATTTTTAACTTAAATTTCAACTTTATTATAAGGAGACTAACTTCTAAAATTTTTATTAATATAGTTAAATAATATCAATAAATTATCTTCACATCACATCAACAAACTTTATTATTTATCTTTTGACATATTTTTAACAATCTATCATTTTTAATCACATCTTTCATACTTTAAAATAAAATTAACTTTAATTATTATATTTTAAATATATATTTTATTTCAAACTCAAAATCTCATACATACTTCACTTGATCAACTTTATTTAAATTTAACTCACTTCGTCAAATAAATAAAATCCAACCCAAAATAATTCACTTTCTATCTAGAGTGATTCGTTTCGTTATATTTTTATAACACAACAACGATGTGTATTTATATATAAATTTTTTATAAGACAAACTAACCATTTTTAAGTCAGCTCTGTCATACTATTTGAACAAAAACTATTTACTTAAACGACATAAATTCTATTTGTATTTTAAAGTATGACCTTGCGTTTTAAAATATGATATTTTCTAATAAATATATGCATAATTATAAAAACAGTATGTTGGTCTGATAGTTAGATCAACCTAACACATGATCAATCCATATTTATTTTATAAAATTACACAATTTCTTTCAAAATTGTTTCAAAAAGCATTACATTTTAATTTTCAATCATACATGGATATGAAGATTGAAAAAAGAGTGGAGTGGCCAATAATTAAATTAACAAATGCAATTCTTTGTGTGTGTGTGTGTGTTTATTTATTTATTTTTTTTTTTTTGGTGTGTAGTTATTTATTATGTGTTTGATAAGAGGACAAGAAAAAGAGGGGCCCTTTTTTATCACAAAGGTGGAGAAGTGATGACAGTTTGAATATCACTTCAATTCAACCTGTCCTCTCATCTTAAAATTTTAATTTTTTTTATTTAATTTAATTTAATTTAATTTTTATTTTTATTTTATAGACAATGTTTATCTGGAAAGAATTCCAACTTTGGCAGTACAAATATTGTTGCAGTGTTGGGTTGCATCAGAATCATCACTCTTTTTATTTATTTCTTTTCAACTTTTGCTTCTTTCTTTGGTAAAAAATATTCTACAGTAGTTTGACCAATTA